CACGATGTGCTTCTTAAATCATACCTTGAAAACCACAGCATTTTAGGAATACCTTCATGGATCTGTCAGACCTTCACATTTACTTATTAAATGAAAACTAGACTTTTTTCCCTTCTTCTGTCAAGACTAGTAACACTAAGATTTTGTACCTGCAAATCACCACAGCTTTATCAACTCCAGGGGATGAGATGTTATCAAAATGAACTTCAGCCAGAAACACAGTGAGATCTTAACCTACAACTATAAAGAGAAAGCCCTCTCACAAGGTGAGAAACAATGGAGATGACTGATGTTAATGAGGAGCTGGGTGAGAGCTGGACCTGGGTGACATGGGCATGATCTGCACTTCAGCTGCTGGCTCTGCTCTTGCTCTGGTCTCGTGGAACGTGTCCCTGCCCAGGGCACGGGGTTGGAATTGGGTCATCTTTAAGGTCTCTCCCAACCCAAACCATTCTGTGACTATAAATTACAATGTCTAGCATAAGCCTGTGTTTTTATTTTGGTAAAGCAAAAGAATACATCCCTGTGCCTTCCAGCAGAGAGTGACCATCGACACCTCCAGTTCACCAGCTGTGCCACAGAGCCCATTGGAGTCCTTCCCGATGACACTGCTGTGTCCTCCCCTGCTTCCTCAAGGTCTGGCATAACCCCCTGATCTCCAGGGACTGGGGCCCAGCAGCACAGCGGGGCACTGCAATCCCTGGGCTGTGGGGGCTGGCACCCTCAGGGCCCTCCTGTGTGCCCAGAACTCTCCCTGTACACCGGTGCAGGTGCAGTGCCAGCCCTGCACTCAGCCTCTGGACACCTGGCAATTCCCACCTTGCTCTGCAAAAGCCAACAGTCCCTAAAGCTTGTTAACAGCAACACAGACACAGAGCATGCAGCTCTGGCTGGATGCCACCTGCACTGAGCTGATTTCAACTGATGAACAAAGCAACACAATTTTAAAGCTGGAGATGAATACGTGTATGCAAAACTCTGTGTCTGTTTAGGGTTCACTGTGTAAGAACTCCTCCCCTATGAACTGCTCTGACTGCTGTATCATCTAACACCTCCTCATTATATCATATTTCTAGTGCACTCATGCTCTCAACTGCACTGCTCAGTTCTATCCCCAGTTATTCTGTGTAGCCCCATAACAGCCATGACTGGCAGAAGTTGGCCTTTTACCTTAGTTGCTCCTGGCCTTAGTCCTTTTACTACGTGTATGAACTTTTACTACTCCTACATTCTTTTTTTATGGGACTTATGGATGAATCAGAATGACACAGATGGCTTCTGGAGCCAAAGTAAAGCTTTTCTTATCCCCTGAGCTACAGCATTTCAAAAAGCAAAAGACAGAAAGGGATTTTGTTACACTGGAGCTGGTTAAATACTGAAGACTGGCTAATAACAACCTTCTGTTGTTAGTCTGTGTGAGAAAATAAAGCCTCTCTTCAAGTGGGAGAGAACCGAATGTTTTAAGTCTCCCCCGAAAAGCAAAACCATAAACAAGGTTTCTCTAAAGTCATGAGAGATTCAGCAAAAAGCTTTCTTATAAAAAAAGGATCCCCCTTCCCCCTCCCAGCGTTGGCTACGGAAATCTGGGACAAAGGTCCTCATGATTATTCAACAAGTTAGAGATATGCAACTAAACACAAGATTAGTTAATCATAAAAGAAGCAGCACCAAGCCAAGAAACCAAACACGTTTTACACCGAAAACCTGTAAGTATGTGAAAGGGCACAGCTCTTGCGAAACTCCCTCAGAAACATTAATATTAAAGGGAAAAAAAATACTGCCTCGGTGCACGATGCCTGGGCAGACAAACATTACCTCCCACGGCCACGGGACATCTGCCAAGTCACACAGACAGCGGGCCAGGGCTGCCGGGGAGGCTCAGCACTGTCAGCAGCTCCTGCTCCCATCCACTGTAAACCCCTGCACGCTGCTCCAGCGTTTTAATTCACACCAAGCCAAGGCTGAGCGAAGAGGTTTCAGAGACAAAGCCCCACGTCTAAGGCGGGTCTGCCACTCCAGGATGGCACGGGGAACACGAACAGGACTGCCCAGGAAGATGCCAACTGCCCCACGCTGCCCCAAGAGCACCCAGCCTTTCTCAACAGTGCATTTCAAAAGGAGCAGGGCCCAGACATTCCGAGCAGCTTTCCTCTCCAGGAAGACAGCAGTTCTTTAGCAAGACGTGAGACAGTGCCTTGCACCACTTGTCTGAATCACTCAGGCCCTCGTTTGAATTTCCAGCAGCCCCGGTGTCCCCGTTCCACATCTCCCTGTGCTGCCAGGGTTCCTCTTCCCTGCTTCCCACCCCAGCCTAGTCCTCCTGAGGAGGATTTCTGTGTCAGAAAAGCTTATGGTCATTAAGTATTCACACCTGTCACTACCCAAACACCCATCACAACCCATTTTGCAAAGCAAGAAATAATGGAAAATACAGCTCTAGCTCTGTCAAACTTGTCAACAGGCAAAGGAACCCTACAAAGTTTCCAAGCCTTCTGAAAAAGGTCTATACAAGTACTGAAATTCAAGTATTCTCAGAACCCATTTCCTTAATTCAGCCTCTGCCTGTGTGTCTGTACAGCTCTCACCTGAAACAGGAGTGACAATCAGGACAGCTTCAGCTTTGGTTGGCTGCCCTGACCACAGAGGGCTGTATCTGCACAGACAAGAAGCTGACCTGTCCCAGCAGGTGAGCAGGGAGACCAAAGCAGTGGGCATGGCCAAAGCAGAGGCACTGTGGGCACCCAGAGAAGTTCAGGGTCCTTTTGGACACAGCACCAGACCAGTGCTCCCCACCCTCTGCATCTCGCACACCTCAGGATGACCCCAACTGTGAGGGTGGGCAGGCCCTGGCAGAGGCTGCCAGAGAAGCTGTGGCTGCCCCATCCCTGGAAGTGTCCAAGGCCAGGCTGGATGGGGTTTGGAGCAACCTGGGCTAGTGGAAGGTGTCCCTGCCCATGGCAGGGACCGGGAATGAAATGGTCCTCAAAGCCCCTTCCAATCCAAACCATTCTGTGATTCTATGACTTCAACCACCTTTATTTTTTAAAGAAAGAAAACAAACCCTGTCGGTGTCTCGAGTTCAAAGTGACATGTCTGTGACACCAAACAAGCTGATGGCAGGTGTTGACCCTCCTCCAGCCCCTCGCAGAGATGCTAATTTAGCAAGCAGCAGTTACTGCAGTGACCAGTCCTGCTGGGTTAAGGAAACGTGCTGCTTTTGGAGGCTCCTTATCATAGAATCATAGACAGTTAAGGGATTGGAATGGACCTTAATGGATCGTCTAGTCCCAACACCACCTGCCACGGGCTCTCCTCCAACTAGGCCAGGTTGCTCAAGGCCTTATCCAGCCTGGCATCAACAACCCCTCTGGGCAACCTGCTCCAGTGTCTCACCACCCTCACAGTAAATAACTCCTTACTCTTTCTCACGCAAGTGCAAGCGGACAGAAGCCCTCCGAACAAAGCCGGGTTTCACGGCAGGGCGATGTGCGGGCAGGGACCCCCGAGAAGGCGGAGCCGCCCCGGTGCCGCGACACCCCGCGCTGCCCGGCCCCGCGCACCTCGGTGACGATGGTGGAGCTGTACACGTCCCGGCTGTACTCCCAGCCGTCCAGGCACGGCTCCTGCTCCAGCGCCTCCAGCTCCACGTCGGAGCCGGGCCGCAGCCCCAGCGCCGAGAAGTTGGCGAGCGCGGCCAGGCGGTAGCGGCGGCAGCGGCTCGGGGCCTCCCGCCCGCCCCGCAGCTCCAGCGGGATGCTGGCGTTGCGCCACTCGCTGCTCAGGTTGGCCCCGCGGGGCACGGCGCACCGGTGCTCGGGGGTGCCGGCCAGGAACACGATGGAGAGCCCGTTGAAGCCGTTGGGGATGATGCTGGCGCTGAGCAGGAAGAAGACGAGGCGCTGGAAGCGGCCCCACTCGCCCAGGAAGGCGGTGGCCGCATCGTAGTCGCGCATATCGCGGCCGAGCTGCGGCCGCCGGTGCCCGGGGCCGCTGTGGCGCGGGCAGGAAGCTCCGCGCCATGGGCCGGCCCGGGGGTGGGGTTTGCAGGCGGGGGCCCCGCAGGTGGGGCCGGGCCCGGAGCGCTCCGCCCGGGGGCGCGGCGGGGGCTCGGCCGGGGCTGCTGCGGCTGCGGCTGCGGGAGGAGCGGCACGGCCTGGCCGCGGGTCACACACGGGAGGAGCTGCCCCGGGGACGGGCCTGGCCGCGGGTCACACACGGGAGGAGCTGCCCCGGGGACGGGCCTGGCCGCGGGTCACACACGGGAGGAGCTGCCCCGGGGACGGGCCTGGCCGCGGGTCACACACGGGAGGAGCTGCCCCGGCAGCGCCGGGCACGGTTTTGTTGACCATGACACTCTTTTCTGAGGGAACACGTGCTAGGTGTTTGACAAATAATAAATTTAATAAATAATATTCTGATCTTAGGCCCCAAGCCCCAGCTCAGTACCCAGGGGCACTGGCAGGAAGGTCACGTTCCCCACAGAGCTCGGTTCAAAAGCTCTGGGGTATCACTGCACACTTTGGCCGTGTTCTCCCAGAGGCTAGTTCACATTTCTGGCTGGCTTTCTGTGGCTGATATTTTCTCCACCTCTAATTGATTTAAAAAAAAAAAAAAAAAAAAAAAAAGAAGTATACTTTTTACAGTATTTCTTGAACAGTAGCATTTAACAAGATCTTTCATTCCCTGTTGGAATCACACAGCTGTGAAAGTTATCAGAGGTGGAGAATGAATGACAAAATAGGAGATAAACCTCAAAATCATCCTTGAGCATGGCTAGGGGCAGCTTCCAAGGATTCACAGGATCAGGACTGAGCCACCTGAAAGCCAGAAAAACTGCCCTACCCCCTTATACTCTTCCTGTGCCGAAGAACTTATTTGTGGAAGAGTTGTTTTTAGGGTTTTATTTTTATCCACGCTAAAGACATTTTAAATTAGGTCTTTAACCTTCTTGGCACCAAGCATTTACGCATTAACCTCTGCAATGACAACCCAGACGGAAAGCAGGTGAGACAATGTCAGTGCACGTTTTTATTACAATGAGCACAGGAGTTAATGAGTGATGATTACACAGCGTCACACAGGCGTGAGCAGCCCCGGTGAGCCAGCGGAGGAGCGAAGGTTGCACACACACCCCCGAGTGAAGGTGACAGCGGTGGCACAGGAGGCACAGTGCGATGGCAGGCAGGGAGTGATCCAGCTGGGCCTTCCCTCATTTCCACTGCACTTCAGACACCCACCGTAAGGCCTTCCAACAGCACTCCTCAGCAGGACATTCTGCTCTTGTGAAAGGTGGTTAAATCTGCTGCTAGAAATACTAAAATGTGACACTAGCTTGAGTGCAGTGGTGTGAGAAAAATGAGACTGATTAAAACAAGGTTTTTTAAAAAACACAGTCATCTTTCTTACTTAAAAAAGGAAAACAACAGGTAAGATACTACAAGGTTCAAGAGTATAAAAATATTTACCTTTTAGAAACACTCAAGCCTACAATCTCATAAAATAAGTCTCAACTAAATATAAAAATCTTCACAAAAATATGGCCACCTATATTTAACTCAAGTCCTCAAACCTGTTCTGTGCTGATATATAAGGGCTTTCTTGAGAAATTTAGGTACATCTAAACAACTGTTCTATAGATTAATTCTGCAATAAGTAAAAACAAGATTAAATACTGCTGTTATTAGAGAAATTACAGGTTGAGAAGGGATGAGAACATCAGGGGTCACAGGACACTGGTTACCTCGTGCCATGTTACATTTATGGCAAAAGCATAACTGCAGCAAATTACTAGAAAATAGTATTTCCACTCCCCAAAGCAGCTTGAATTAATTGCACAAGTTCCTTGCATTTAAATGTTATAAAGCTTTATATTTGTGCTTGAACTTCAGGGAGAGGCTCATTCCTGTGCCAAGTGCCAGCACAAGACAACCCACCCTGAACTGTCGCAGTAGAGATGAGACACTGTGCTTTTGTTGGCCCTTACAGGAGGTGACTCAGGGCTAATTGTTATTTATAGAGGATAAAAATCAGTCTACCAGGTCTGAGAGACTTTATGTGTCCAAGAAGTGCACGCACAGCCAATATATACAAAAATAAAAGGTATTACACTTTTTCCAAACAATGTGGTGTTTATAAAACAGTAGTAGCACAACTTGAAACTCTACATTTGTCATCATCCAGTCTATCTATGCTAAACTTTTTTTTTTTTTTTTTTAAAAAAGCATACATAATCCGTAAGTTTTGAAAAACAAAACACTGGTGTTTTGTTTTGAAAAAAAAGGTGGTCCCAAATTAGTCCTTTTGCATTTTTAATAGCTGCAGGTAAACATCTCCAGTACAGATTTTTAAAAGCAAAGCCCCTTTAAATTTGTAAATGGTACAAGGGCTTTGCAGAGGCTTTAGAAACTGCAGTGAGCTTTCTCTGAAGGTGCAGAACAAAGTGGTATATATTCAAAGGAGAAATTAAATACTTTGGAGAAAATAAAAACAACACCCCAAAAGATCTAAAAAAAATGCTCATGCCCAGATACGATGAAAAACCTAAAAGCTAAAACTTCATGGCACATAAGGACAGGATCACTGACTTGCTGAAGCTTATGTTTCTGCTGAAAGTGGGCATGGCCCATCAGAAAGTCAGCAAACTATAGTCCTTACTCAGTGCTCGAGATTTCCCCCCCTCCCCAAAGACACTGAACATTCACAAAGCCCAGGGTGGGCTCAGGCTTTATGAAAAAGCATCATCTTTTACAGGAACAAGTGGATCCCAGGTCCTGGGAAAAGCAAGAGCCATGGAAAGCTCCTCTGCTGTTCTGTTTAAATCCATGTCCTTACAGCAAAGTCTGTGTCTGCTCTGCTACAGCTCAATTCTGATCCCACTCAGTCCATGGGCTTCGATCACAGATTTCAGAGGAGGCCAGGACCTTTCCTGCAGCTTTTGAAAGACAGGCACCCAGCTCCCCTTCTTCCAGTCAACACACACAGTGAGAAGAACCACCAGCATTACATTTGCTATATACTTTTGTCCTTTGAGCAGCTTTCAGCAAGTACCTGACTTACTGGAGTCACTGCTGTATCATTCCTAAGGCTCCCTTCCAGCTTACTCCTTGACTTCTGTTTACACAGCAGGCCCTCATTCCTCAACAGGGACTGTACCTGCTGCCAAACCCCAGGAACCAGGACACTGAATTACAGACTAAGAGTCCTACAGGAGTAGACAGCAGCTGGTCAGTAAACTATGTAATCTGGGGACAGGAGCTCAGGGGATAACAACTATGGTGCAATAGCATTGACTGTTGGGTTTTGTTCATTTTCCTCTGGTAGAAAAATGCATTTTGAGATGATCCTGTTCTTCTTGCAGCCCCTCTGACAGCGTGTGTCCTTCTTCACAAGGGTGTTATCAGGCTTTTAGGACTCTCCTTGGAACTCCTAATGCCAGTGGTTTGTTGCCCGTTTCTGAAACTGAAAGCAAGTAAAAGGCTGAGAAGCAGAGAACATTTTCCAGGTGTCAGGCACGCCCCTCCCAGTGAGCCCCGCTGCAATAACCACGTTAACTGCTGACAGGACCCCACAGTGCAGTGCTCTGTACAGTGTGCCTTCCTTCAGGGGAAATGTTTGCCCGGGGCACCCTAAATAGCCGTGGTGGTGGGTCAAGAGAACTGTTGTTGCTTACAGCTGAACCATATAAACCAGAGGAAAAGCTGTCCTGGCCTGTCTCTGGCTGCCCAGAAAGAGGTAGGATGTTGAAATTCTGTGTTTAATTTGGAGTAGTGCATAATGAACTGCAAGAACGAAGTGTTTCATAACATATATATAATCCTACTAAATGGAAAGTTTAAATGAAGAGTTAAAGAGAGTAAATGATAAAAAAGGATGGAAAGTGTTGGGAGATCTGAAGCAACAGCCTCCAGGTGCTGTGAAGGTCAGCCTTGCTTTGCCAGTGCACATCAGCTCTCAGGTTCAGGCATTCTGGAGAAATTGCATGATGTCACTGCTGAATTACCAACCCAAAAGAAAATAATCTACGGGGCACTTAGAAAGCTTTGATGTTTTGCAGTGGAGCTGCAGAAACACATTTACTGACTGTGAGAAGGGACTGTGCAGGAGCAGGCTGGGAACTCTTGGGAAGTACAGGATGAATGGAAGCTGCCTTACCACTTCACCTTCAGCATCTGCTCAAAGCTCTCGGGCAGGGGGTTCCCGTAGCTCTCCGGGAGAAACAGGGTGAGGATCCCAATCAGCACAGTCAGGCTCCCCATCAGGATATAGGGCAGGAATCTGTCATAGGCACCTGGCAGAACAGAGGACATGCCAACAGTACTGAATGTCCACGACCAACAAACCCACGTGGAAACTTTCAGACATTGCTGTAATGCAGAATTCATTTGGAATAATTGGCTGAAAGCTTCATAAATATCAAAAGTGAATCCAAAACTGAGTTACGGCTGTTACCTGCCAGCAAACAAAGAGATTGTCCAATTTTAAAAATTTTAAAGCTTCAGCATGTGCTTTTGGATGGCAACACCTACCATCAGTTTCATGCCAACCCCCACGTTTGTGTAGTGGATAATAGTTTTGGGGTGTGGGGATTTTTTACATTTTCAGCTGGCCTAGCCAACATCTTTGCAAGGCAACAGCTCTGCTGGGATCACTGCTGGAGTCTTCAGCACTGCACTGTCATCAGGAAACAAATCCTCTGTTAAATAATTCAGTATGAGGGAATAAAATTGCTCCTGAGCAACCAAGCAACTCATCAGCTGCCTGGGATTGTGCATCCCGCTGGGCTGGTGCAAAAGAAGGGAAGAGACTAATGCAGGACAGGCCAGCTCCAGACTAACAACTCATCAACAGGGGAATCCTTCAAAGCCTTCCTTCCTGCAAAGGGAGACAGCATCAGGCTTCCTGAGACACACACAGGCTCTGACCTTGGTCTACTCAGAATACTATTTTGGACTGGAAGGCAGCAGCCCCTGCCAGCAGCCTGAAGCTGGCACAGGAGTGCTTGGGCAGGATGCAAGATCCTCAAGGCACAGCAGCACAGCAATGGAAAGGTCTTTCAGGAAAGGGATTACCAAGGAGTTAAAGTATTTAGGATATAGAAAATACCAAACTGGACTTGACAGCTTTATTTTATAGCTGGGATAGAGCAATGTGCTCTATAATGTATGGAATTAACTAGGATTGAAGTGAGGACCCCTGGGTATGTCACACAGAGCCAAAGTTTGTGATTTGATCTCCTCTGTGTTGATGAGCTGGGTGAAATACAAGGTCCTAATTTAGCTGTAGCAAATAGCAGCAGCTGACAAGTTTCTCCTAGAATCTCTTAGAGTTCAGGAAACTATTTTGATGATTTTGGAGAGCGCAGATTCTGAGAATGTTCAGATCCCCACCTGGTTCATCTCCTCCTGACATACCCATCTTGGGATGTGCACAGAGTACCACGCAACAGATTTCCCAGTGCTGCATTTCCTTACTTGCAAGATCACTTCTTGTCACATTCTTCTGGGAAACTAACTGGCATCCCAAGATGTGATTATCATCCCAGCCACTCCATCTGCATGGTTTAGAAACACCATCATTGTCCTGGACCAGCCTGGACTCACTTCAGTGATATGTGAGCAGTCCCTAAAGGAAAGAAGTGCCTGATCCTTCTGTGAAGCCCAAGGAGCTCCCCTTGATTCCTGCCGTGTGTGGCAGTGGATTCAGACCCGGGGTGAGAGAAGGGACTCGAGAGTGAAGTGAAGGGACTCAAAGCTGAGCCCGCAGTGCAGAAGCTCAGCTGGCTTCTCTGGGCAGCTGTGGGGCACGAGGCAAGGAAAGCAGGATGTCTCACCCAGGTAAACGAAGTAAGGGGCAATGATGCTGCCCAGCCTGGAGGCCGTGGATGTGGCTCCCACAGCCATGTTCCGCACCAGGGTTGGGTACAGCTCCACGTTGTACACATAGAGCATCGAAAAGGCAGCTGTGATGCCAAACTTCCCCAGCATCACCAGACCAACAGAGAGGGCATTGAGATCTGGAGGAGCAAAAAGGAAATCAAGGTCAATAAACAACACCCTGTGTTTATTACTTCTATTTCTTCTACATCCAAAAGATTGCATTGCCGGTCTTTTCCCTAAAGGCTGTGGGTTTGGTATTGTTTTTTTTTTTTTTAATTATACCAACTATTAAGCCATCCCTGGATGACTTGGCTCCAAACTTCCCACTGAGCATAATGTAGCTGTTCAGGTTATTTTGTACTTCCCAGATTTTGCTTGTCTCCAAGTAAAACAGCATTTTTGAAGTGGAACAAAACTCTGGATTACACAGCAACAAAGCACAAGCTTAAATCCCCTCCCTTTTTTCAAAATCCTGTGGAGATTTACTCGCAGTGAAATCTGGATGCAGGTTTTTTCAGTCTGGATGCACAACCAGATAAATCCCAGGACGCTTTGGGCTCTCATTTTAGAAGCTGGTTCCCCAGACTGTACAAAGCTCAGTAACCTGGCACAATAAATGAGAGTTGAGTGCGACTCAGCATATAGATATGCAATAAAAAACCCAAAAGGTGCAAGGGAGCAGCATAAACTTGGCCTCCAATTCTTAATTTGATGCCAGTTTCCAGTAGTTTTGCAGAACTAGTACATAGTAACATAAACTATTCTGAGTATTTTACGTACTAAAGTCACATATTGAATTTTGTACCTGCAGGAACCAGCTGAATGAAGAGGACAACGCTTCCCCCTAAAAAAAGGACGCCAGATAAGGAGTAGCGGCGCGGGAGGGAGCGGAGGAGGAGCCAGGCGATCACATAAGCTGGGACCTCAATCACAGCCGAGAGGAAACAGTTGAGGTAGGCATTTCCATGCCAGTCTGGAGTGCTGAGGGACAGGCCAAAGTAACCAACTGACGTGAAAAACCTGGGAAAAGCAATAAACCCAAGTTATTCCAGAAACAGCAGGCTCTGAACGCCTCCAGCATTGCCTCAGGTGTCGTTACAAATATAGGATGTCACAAAGCATTGCCACAGGTACTGTGGCTTAAAAACATCTCTGTGCAACCCCAGCTTTCTAATTGTCATCCCTTCCAGTGGCCACATCCACAGCAGCTCGAAGAGACCTTGGATTTCTCTGTCCTTCCTGCACACACTACACCAAGTGAAAGGCTTTGTGGAAGTTGTTCACAAAGGCTTTTCATTGCAATGGACACAACACCACAGTGGAATGACTCTCGCAAGCTTCCCATGCCAACTACATTCCTACTTGTAGCCAACTCCAGTGACAGGATCTCCCCCCCTCAGCAGTTCCATTAGAACTTATTTAATCTTCACAAGAGAGCTGGATGTTCAGGTTTCAAATCTCAAAAGTGCCTCACTATGGCATGCCAAGTGTGCTAGCCAGTTCCTTTCTGTTGGGGGAAATATGGCCAGAAAAGGGTGCTGGTTTGTCTACATGGTATTATTGGGTCCTCATTCCTCGTGGCTGCCCAGGCAGGGACCAGGATCTCACTGAGAGGGGCACTGTACAGAAACAGAACAAAAATGCTGGCCATGGTTCTGCTTCTTGTTATGCTACCGAGTTGCTGCCTTGGCTGCAGGAAGAACCTTTCTCTTCAAATAGAGATTACAGAGATGGGAGCATTTTAAAAAAAAAGAAAAGCAACATAATTTAAAATACACAAGCTGTTACATATAGTTTCTTAACTGTTTTACATCTAAGTCGAGGCTACTGTCTGCAGATCCTTGTGTACTAATGCAGTGTGGGCGTGAGGACACTGAGGGCCATGTGCCAGCCAAGGACCATGTGGAGATGGGCTCCAAGGCTCAGACTCATTATGTAAACCTGTGGCATGTGCCCTCAAATCAGAAACTGTTTTATTGCCTGGGTACTGTAGGAATACACATTTCCTTACCACAAAAGTAATGACATAATAGTAATAGTTGCAATGTTTCGGGTTCGAAATAGGTCCAGAAGGATAGCCTTCTGCTGCTGCTGAGGCTTCGAATCCTGCATCTGAAGGAAAAAGGAAAACAAAACCGAAAAAATTCCCACACACCTAAGAGCAAAACAACCTCTGCTACCCACAATCCGGGCAGTTACGAAGCTACAACTATCAGGGGATAATCGGCAGCCCAAGGGCCACTTTGCCCCAGGGAGGGCAGTCCTTAGGCACAGCTTGTCTCTGCACCCCACTGCACTCGTGGGAGATTCCACTCTTTTGTTAAAAAAAATGGTAATGCTGAGACAGAACTTGCTGCTAATTAGAAAGGAGTATCAGCTGACCAGACAGACAAATTAATGTTTCCTTAGAGATCTCACACTGTACTTCCAGGAGTAACCTCAATACCAGAGGCATTTTTCTGTGCACTGTCCACTCAGCTCTCTTCTGTTCAACCTTCACAAACGATGTGAACTCAGTGCAGGAAATCCCCCGGTTTTGCTGCCTGCCAGCACCTGACAGGGAGGGCAACAGATGCCAGAGGCTGGTGAGGTGGCCAGGGCACAGCATGGGAACATCCATCACCTCGGATCGCACACAGGGTCCTGTTTGAGGCTTGCAGCAGGAATCTTCTGGTGGATTAGGGTGCCCTTCTGCCTGCACGCTTCGACCTTGCCAGGGCAAAGCCAGCACTTGTGTCCAGGCTGCCCCCCAGGCCCAAAGAGCAAACTGTCCTGGTTCTCCCGACAGGGCTACCCAGGAGATTTCCTTTCCTAGGAAAGAGAGGATGGTTTCTGAGGAATGTCTTCCTAGTAATGTTTGAAAAACACTTCCAATGGAGGACTTAGAGTGCAGACATCATCCTCAGGCTTTTGAGGACAGACACTGTGGCACACAAAATCTCCATGAGGTAAAAGACAGCTGAGCTGCTGCTTGGTCTCAAAAATCCATGGGAGTGATGAAATGCTGCAACCTGAAAAAGTCATCTCAGGTTTGAATGAATGAAGATGAAAGGCAGTTTGAAACACATCCGAGCACCGGCTGGGAAGGGAGGAAAGGGCTTTTCCGTGGCTTCTGTGGGACGAGCTTCCCATCTCTGCAACATGCACTTCAATTTACACTAGAACTTAGACTCAGAAAAGGGATCTTCAGCCAAAATGGAAGTGTGACATTCAGGTGCAGGATCCTGCCCAGGGGAGGTGGAACACAGCGTCTCTGTCCTGCAGACACTGCAGAGGAGCACACGGTGCTTTGCTTTCTGCTCTACCAGGGGACACGAGGAGGCACAAAACGCAGGTGCCACTATGAGGCAGCAGAGGAAGATCTGACCTACAGATCACTGCTGGCACAAGGCCAAAGAGTCGAGCTGCTGGTTTCTTGGCACAAGAAAAATGTCTGTGCCTCTTCAGGAGAAGCTCCAGCGCGGGCAGAGCCACTAGAGGGGGAGATGAGCACACGAACCAACCATCCTGCCGGGGCTCTGCTGCTCCCCAGCTCTCTGGGTGCCAGCTTTGCACCAGGCTTTCTTCTTTTAGCCAACAGATATGAAGTACAAGAAAAACAAAAACAGTTTTGAAGAAGAGCTTCTTGTTCTTCAGAGCCTTTGCTACCGTCCTGGTTTTCAAGTGCCCTGGTAGCACTCGGGTGCTTTGACTGGTCTGTGCAACCCAAAGAGTCCCTCAGGTTCCACACAGCCCCAGACACGTGGGTGCTGATTTAGGGTCCCCTGCACAGCCCCCCTGCAAAGGGCTGCTGTTAAACTACAAATTGCTAACACCACACCCAGCTGAAATGGGCACAAACACATCTTCCTCGGGTCTCCTCAGTGCCCAAAGGATAAAGCAATCTGGGGCACCCTTGCTTTGAAAACCACAACAAACCACTGCTGAGGAATACCATTTAACCCTAAAAACCAAACAGTAACACCTCCCTTTGGGTTCTCACTTTGATCTCTCTAACCCAGCTCTTACCACACGCCAGAAGTCCCTGCAGCCTCCGAGAGCTGCTGGTGCAGACCAGAACGAGTCAATGGGCCAAAGGGGAAGAGTGCCAGCGAGGTGAAGCAGCAGGATGTGTTAACATACCTCTGCAGTGTCGAAAAGCACGGCTGGGGCTGGAATGCCATTGATTTTTGCAGCCTTTCGGATAATAACTTCTGCCTCCTGATATCTTCCCTGGGAGATCAGCCACCGAGGGGACTCAGGAATCACCCTGCAATAAGTTTTGGAATAAATGATTCAACATTTTCACAGAAGTAAGACATTGCAAGGAACATATTTGTTGTGTCTATGAATTATGCTCTCATCTCACAGACTGCTTGCAGCAGGAGACAGCCAGCACAGAGGGACGTGGGCAATGTAATTCAAATCCATGGGATGTGGTTATTCTCATGCTAAAGTAGATGCATGCTTAGGCCTTTGTCCTCACTGGTTGTTTTTCAAGCAATAATTGATGTCCACCAGATGTCACCAGATGGACAGCAAGGATGGGGGTAGCTTAGCCAGCACTGAGCAAAAATATTCCCAGGAAACTGCACACAGTGTGGAAATGCTTTAAGTATGCACAGGGTATATTTAAAGGTTCTGTGTCACAGGAATCGTATATACAAACCTCCCCATGTTACCACAGCTCTGAGCAGGCTCTCCCAGGCAGAGAACTGGGGCAGTGTCCCCTTGCAGAGTTGATGACATTTTCTAATCAATTCCAGGCACGTGTTGAGTGAATTAACACCAAACACAGGACAGAAAATTTCACTTTTCCTTAACTAAATCCTTTGATCTCATTAAGTGCTGCCTTGCTCCCTTTAGCCAGCAGCACTTTTTTCTCTCCTTGGAAAAAAGTAGGTCAGACACTCCTTTTCTGATGAACCCTAAAGGATTGACTCAAAGACAGGTCAATAATTTCAAACATCAGATGATTTATATCTGACCCTTAACCACGCATGAGACTCTGTGTGAGATGAGCTGCCTCCACTGCTCTTCTTTCTGGGCAAGCTGAGGATCCTGAGACTGCAGAGACAATGCTGGGAACCTTCTGGAGAACTTGGAAGGGAAATGAGTAAAAGAGCAACTCTGGCACAGAGCAGTGGGATGTGCGAGTCACATGGCCCGTGAAAGCAGTAGGTCCACATGCCCAAATGCCAGGTAATGCCAGCCTGCCTTGGCAGAGCTTTGCCAGTGCACCTTGGTCCCCATCTCGCCCCACATAAGCCCCTGACTGGAAGTTCCATCCATGGAAACTTTTTGCATGCTCTACAGTGTACACCCTTAAAAAGCCTGGGAATTCCCACCCAGGACATTTCAAAGCAGGACTGTGAAGCCATGCCTTGGGGACAGATCTCACGTTGCTCACAGTGCCTGTTCCCCAGCAGACACCTGAGAGGCCTCCACCCAAAGCTCCCAAAGCAGGGAACAGCTGCTTGGTGCAGGGAAGTGCCACTGTGCTGAAGGAGTCTGAAACATTTCAAGGTAAATAAGCAAACTGACCCTTAGACAGAATCAATCTTTAAAATCTGATGACAGCAGAGGTGGAGCTGGAAACCATCTTAAAGGATTGGTTTGAAGACTAAGGTTAAAACCCCCCAAACAACTGACAAACCAAAACCAGCAGCAGAGACTTCTGACAAGACTTGGACCCGCAGGAGGTCTTTTGGACTATGGAAGAGTGGCTCTGCATCACTTCACTGTTATACAGACATTAGCTACTCACTTATAACTTCCTCAGGAAGAAAGGGGTCCTCTGGATAATACGAAAGGAGGGAACTCTTCTTGTTATAAACTATCCGTATTTTAAGTGTATGAGTGATACCTTGCCTTTCTTTTCCATTTTCAAATACCTGTCTCTTCAGAAAACAGCAGATGACCAAGGCAGGAACAGAACAAGGCTATCTGCCCTTCCCCAATGCCTCTGTCCAGCTGAAAAGAGCAGGGCTCCAAGGACACGGCCAGCACCAGTGACTTAAACCAGCACAGGGAACCCAAACACAACATCCCCCCTCAAGGCAAAGCCTCCTCAGGGCAGATCAAAAAAATAACTGGCCCCCCCAACACCCTGGTGTCACCCAGCCCCCAGCAGGGAGAGCAGGAGGCGGGAGGGGAGGTGGGGAGCGTGGGCACTCACCACCAGAGCGGGATGCAGAACAGCCCCGGGACAGTGAGCGCCAGCAGCAGCATCCGCCAGTCTCTGATGAAGTAAGCAAACAGTGGCAGCAACATGTAGCCAAATGCAAAAAATATGCAAACTCCTAATGTAGAGAATAGAATACGAACTGATTTGCCAAGAATTTCTGTGCCTGTTTAAAACAAGGGAGGTTGGATTAGTATTTTAACTCTTTCTTTTCAAGCATGACTAAATACTTTATTGCATTTACAAAAAAAAAGAGAATAAACTAAACAATCTTAGAAAAGAGCAGCACAGCACGGACCCACCC